TTAGTTTTAAGGTGGATATTTGACAGACATTCACTCCGGACTCAGCAACTCAGTAACATTTAGTTTCACTTTCGCCCGATGTTGGCAGTAGGAGGACAGTAAGGTCACCTCCCAGCTCCCCCATGTACTGGCGGGGGCTGAAGTTGAACCAGTTTCCAATAATATGAGGGATATGTACAAATTTGGGTGCTTACTTTTCATAGGAAAATGAACAAACAGTTTGTGAGAACAGCTGCATCCAAGCTTCTCTGTTTTTTGTTGTGGTAGATGTTCCAACCACATGTGCATGTTGGTTCCGGTGAGTTTCTGTGTGTGTGTGTGTGTGTCCCACTGGCTGGCTAATCGCTGCTGCTCTGTACTACACTCATATGGTGGTTAATGGCGCTTACCCTCTGGTCCCCCCTAACATTAACACTGTTAGCTCTGTCAGCATTGTTGCTGTTGTTAGCACTCTTAGTGCTGCTAGCATAGCACCTAACAGTGCTAACTGTTGATGGGTTAATTGTTGTTGTTTTTTTCATATCAATTTGAAACTTAAGTTTTCATGAAGTAAACTGGCTTGCTTGTGGTTAGCTCTGTCAGCACTGTTGCTGTTGTTAGAACTGTAGTGCTGTTAGCACTGTGTTAGCACTGCTCACTACATCATTTCAGCTCAGCCACTTCCATGTTTGCTTTTGACATCAGAAGTGAGAGTCATGTGCAGGCAATCACACCTGAGACTCTTTAACACGAAAATATGGATAACTTTAAATGTAATTTTTCAATGCTTTGAGCACCATAAATAAACTCTTTTCACTTCCATTGTATTAAGGTGGCAGGAGTAATTGGACAAACAAACCCCTTTGTAGTCCAGTTTATCCAATATATCCTAATTTGAATTCATAAAACTGATGGCCAAGCAGTTTGAATTGAGCACAGTATTAGTTCAGTTCTTGTTAGTTCAGCTCACATTCCAGCTACATTGGCTAATCTCATTTAGTCCAGTCAGCAGATGGATCAGCTAATTGTGAAAATCTCATTTAAGGCATCATATTTAAACTGCTTTTGCCTGCCTGCCATCACTGCTTCCTCTGCAAACCACTTCGCAACCCACCCCTACCCCAGCTCCTCCTTTTCCAACACATTCTTACTCCGACCTTGTCACATATTGACGTGCTTGGTCATGGACTTTCCACATCCACATTCGATGTGCAAGGTACCTTGAGTGTATTGGTAGTTGACGCTCTGGGACACTGTCTCAAGTTCTGCCTGTCACATGCATTGTCTTCTTCCAACATACACTTCCGTTTTCACAGGAATTTTAACGTTTACATACAGTCTCTTTCAAAATAAATGCACTATGTCCATGCAACCCCATGAATTGACATTTTTTTTCCTTCAACAACAAACACACATGGTTGGGTTTAGGCAATTAAAAACACGTGGTTAGGTCAAGGCAACAAAAGCAAGTGGTTAGGTTTAGGAAAAAAGAACAGGGTTTGGCTTTAGAATCTTATGGGATGCGAACACTGCTCTCTCGGGTGAAGGTTGGTGTTTGTTGGACCCATCCACCACCCCTCCTATGTGCCCCACCTGGACTTTCTCCGCCTTAACTTTCATCCTTGTCCTGCTGCGTTTCCCCTGACGCTGTTTCTGTTAAACTATGACGGCAACCGGTCGTGTATCATGCAGATATTAAAGGATGCCTTTTTTCGTTGATTTCTGATGTTGCAAGTCACTGCCCAAGCGCTGGATTTCGAAAAAATTCAGAGTGAGACTAGGCTCCCTTTTCATGCTGTGTCTGACTTACCAGTGTTGATTGTCATAATGTTGCTCTGTTCTGTGCCTGGATTTTTTTTTGCTGCCATAGGCTTTTCATGTACGCACTTGGAAGGATGGAGAGGTTCCAGAACAGAGCCATACCACCAAATATCATACTGCAAATAGAAATAAAGTTTTCTCTTGACTGAAGTGGTCCTGACTGTACTTAAGTTTTAATGAGTCAAACTGACCTGCCTGCAGTACACTGGTATGTTTAGTCCAGGGGTCAGCAACCTTTACTATCAAAGGAGCCGTTTTCAGCCAAAAAAGAAAGAACAAAAAATCTGCCTGGAGCTGCAAAACATATTTGAGCCTCATATACGAATCACTGTTAATTTATTATGTTGATCTGTTCTGTACGACATCTATTGCACATCTATTGCACGTCTGTCCGTCCTGGAAGAGGGATCCCTCCTCAGTTGCTCTTCCTGAGGTTTCTACCATTTTTTCCCTCATTAAAGGGTTTTTTTGGGGAATTTTTCCTTATCCGCTGCTAGGGTCCTAAGGACAGAGGGATGTTGTATGCTGTAAAGCCCTGTGAGGCAAATTGTGATTTGTGATATTGGGCTTTATAAATAAAACTGATTGATTGATAATAAAGGTAACACTGCCTTTTAAGTCAAATTTAGCCTATCAAGATGACTAATAGAGCTAAATGAAAAACTGGGTGCCAGCAGCTCAGTCCATGGGGACTTGGGTTGGGAATCGGAGGGTCACCTGTTCAAGTCCCTGTCCAGACCAAATATGGAGTGTGGACTGGTGGCTGGAGAGGTGCCCTTGAGCAAGGCACCGAACCCCCCCAACCGCTCGGGGCACCTGTCCATGGCAGCCCCCTCACTCTGACATCTCTCCACTTTGTGCATGTGTAGGTCCTGTTTGTGCGTGTGTGTGTGTGTTAATGACAACAGAGTGAACAAAATGTAATTTCCCCACAGGGGGATTAAGAAAGTATATAAGAAAAAAAAAGAGCATTCATTAATATGTTTTAGCACAAGGTGGCTATTCTGCAGTGGGCTTTTTTTATTATTATTTGGAACTTCCATTATGCAGCGTTGCAGATTAAAGCAAACAAATTTGTCCATGCACTATTAAATTCTCTATTTTTCCCTGAGACTTCTTCCTTTTTGAATTTGGAATCCACAGCTAGCCTAGCTAGAAAGATTTAAGACTACTTTAGCCATCGCTAGTGATGTTTTTAGAGGAAAAGGCGCCAAGCCACAAATGTACAACACATATTTTAGTTGACAATATGTTAAAACATTCTTTTTTTTTTTTTTACATTGGTGCATAAGCTACACATTTTTACAATTGAAGAATGTAAGGATCACTGTCATCCTACAACAATAAATCTAAATTAAAATGTTAATGTTTTCCATATAATTTTCTGTCAAAGCCACGGGGAGCCACTGGAGAGGAGCTTAAGAGCCACAGCCTTTGAAGCCACAGGTTGTCGACCCCTGGTTTAGACCATAGTTTATAGTTTAGAATAGATAGTTTAGAAGACAGATCATAGCTTGGATTAAAATAAGCGTTTGTTTACGTATATATGTCATGTGATGTTACGTAGTTCAAATAAGACAACATCAGTGGTGTGGTGTAGGGTATACATAGGTATTCTTTGTTTCTGGCCATTTTCAGTTATCACCTATCAGCCAAAAAGTCATTGGAATATATAGGGGAGTATACCCACATTCTCCTCAGTCACCTACCCATCTACCTAGCAATACACCCGCCTCATCAACCACCATTACACCACTGGACACTGCTGACTTTTGGTTTCACACATGACACAAACAGCAGTCTCCTGGGTCAAAGTCCTGTGTTTGTTTGACCTGTCTAACCCGACATCCTACCTACACAGACTTTGTAGCTCTTTATACTACATTGCTTGACTTCCTCCTTTTGGCCCGTCACACTAGAGTTTGCCACCTAACAGTAAATGTAAATATTGTTGGTAAGCTGCTTGTACAAACAACCTACGTGGTCATGTTGTGGAGGAGAACATTCTCTTTATATCAGAACTTCTCAGAGATTCACCTCCACTTAACTGTAACAAAAACATGTAAATGTTCAATTACAGTGAAGTATCACTTCACATGTTGCTTCTCCAACAGAGAAGGTGATTTCATAAAGTCAGGGTTCATTACAATTTGAACAGCATCATCTCTCTCCCGGCAGTGTGAAATTAAACAGACATGCATATTACAGAAGCCTGGGAGAAGCTATTCAATTTTCCCCACAGTGGTCACCATCTGAAGAAATGAATTAAACTGCTGCTAGAATTAGAAATCAAATTATGGTCCAGATCCCCGCAGGCCAAGAGATGGCATGTGGTCAACAGTCGGTATGGGATGGATATGTAGTATGAGTTTTCCCATAATTATGTCAGTGTGGTCCTATCGTCCTCTGCTCCCACTGTGGCCGAGTATCAGAGTGAGAAACACTCCAAAATGAAGAAAAGAGAGACTCATTTTGACACAAAATACACTGCTCATATCAGTTTCACATGCCTCTAAAGACATAAAGAAAGTAAAGTAACTTTGTACACACAACCAGAAACACCAAGTCTTTGACAAGGAGGATAACAAATGCACTTACAGGAACATTTCACTTCAAAATGAGATTTCTGTGATAACCTCCTCACCTTCATGTCTGTAGTAGCACTGTAGCACAGAATGTAGGATTACTCACTGACTGTTGCAGGTAATGAGCCAGGCTTAATGTTTAAAAAAGAGAATACAATATGCATCAAATTTATTTAATCATCATTTTGTTTGAGCCTAATAATCAAACTGAACTGCCATTTTATTTTTAATTTGCTGGAACCAACTGGATGTGTGGACCTTGTCAACCACTGTTATTCATTCATTGATCTTCTAACCGGTTCATCCTCTTGAGGGTTGCGGAGGGGCTGGAGCCTATCCCAGCTGACATCGGGCGAGAGGCAGGGTACACCCTGGACAGGATGCCAGACTATCGCAGGGCTGACACATAGAGACAGACAACCATTCATGCACACATTCACACCTACAGACAATTTAGAGTTATCAATTAACCTAATCCCCAATCTGCATGTCTTTGGACTGTGGGAGGAAGCCGGAGTGCCCAGAGAGAGCCCACGCTGACACGGGGAGAACATGCAAACTCCGCACAGAAGGGCTTCCTCACCCGGGATCGAACCAGGAACCCTCTTGCTGTGAGGCAACAGTGCTAACCACCACACCACCATGCCGCCCACTGTTAATCATTGATTATAAAATACTTCAATCATGGAGTACTAACAGTGGACACAGGATAGTATTTTTGAGAACCATGAATTTCAGTCACAGAGAGGTATGATATCTAAGTCCTCAGCTGACACAGAGGTGAGCAGGTAATGACTGCATTTTCATTACAGAGTGAAATATTCAATTACAGTTCACATTACTGTCATTGAAGGTTCCACATTTGTGTGTGAAGAAGTCATATCTCAGGAAGCCATTGCTGGAAATTGAAGAGATTCTCATTTAAGCTCTGCAATTAGTCCAAGGTCTCTGTGACTTTGTGAAGGAATTCATATGAAGAAGAAGCTTCAAATACAACCACAAGTATTCTCCACTCTTGTGGACTCAGAGACTCTTCCACTTAGCATGAATTCCTCCCACAATGTTCGGTCCCTAGCCCATGTGCTACAGCTAGGGTTTCTTGTCTGCATATGATTGGCTGGTGGCGGCAGTGGTGCTGGGGATGTCTGGATAAACCAGGAAGCCAGTGAAAGTGATGTACTTGGCATGGTTGCTGTAGGCCCCAAAGCCATCTCTCTGGTGGGAGTAGAGCCACACGGTGTCTCCTGGTTTCAGCAACAACATCAAGCTCTGACTCTGCAGAGCTTTCTCCCCCTGGCTGTCGTCATAGATCATAGCCTGCACCTCCAGATGGTTCTTCATCAGCTTGACGGACAGTGTCTTCTGCGGCAGCTTGCCCACGTTAAAGGAGAAATAGTATGCTCCAGCAACTCGGCAGGTGAACACCCCCTCCGTCACGTTAAAGTCTTCTCCGATGTTGACAAAAGCTGTGTCGAAGCTAACTGGCTGGTGCTGAGGCATGCCCACTTGGTTGACTCCCACAATGCTCTGGGTGCGCCCCACCGAGAAGGCAGATCTCTGCTCATCCTCTTCATCCTCCTCCTCCTCTTCTTCCTCCCTATGTTGAAGCTCCTTCTCCTGCTCCACTACTGCTGTGTCTCTTGTTCCAGACCTGACTCGCTCTGTGGCCTGGTTGCTATTCACCAGGGGGGTGTTGTCTTGCTGGTGCTGCTGGGAGTTGAAGGCAGTATGGTGTTGGTGATGGTGTGTCTGGAAGCCATAGGTGTCAGGGTAGACGAGGTAACCATTGAAGGTGGTGTAGTGTCCAGTATTGCTGTAGAGTGCATAGCGTGGGTCACCATGGAGACGGAGCCAGACAGTGTCACCAAACTCCAGCTGCAGCATGACGCTCTGGCTCTGCACCTGAGGATTGAAGCAGGCTTTATTATCCCTGTTCTACATCAGCACCAAGCATAATCCGATCATGTACCTCACACTCTTCAATCAGGGGAATTTGATGTGTAATCCCCTCTGTTCTGCTTCCATCCCCTACCCAAACACTAACATACACCCTGTGTTAGAGAGCCACATTGCACTGTGAGACTGTTGGAGAGTTTTAACATAATCAAAGACCTTTGTAAGCATTTCCTTATTTGCAGTCTTACCAAGAGTTAGATGAGAAGCTCAGCTGGGATCAGGCGACAGTTAGCCTAGCTCAGCACAAAGGCTAAAAGCAGAGGGAAACGGTTAGCCTGGCTCTCCAAGGTTCATTATTAGCCTATCTGCTGGAAGAAATATTCAGATCTTTCACTTCTATTTCAATGGACGTAGCTTTTCTAGGATGTCTAGATCTATGATTACTGTCATCTGACTCCACCCAAATGCACAGACGTGTTTGATTGGATGTCAGTAAGCCAATCACAGTGTTGAGCCATGCCCCCTTTTTGACAAGCATGACCAACTGTGAGGCAAGGAGGAAGCGAAGGCACGGCTTTGGTCTGTTATTCATATTGTTAAAGTACTTAATTTGTGTTTAAAGAAACATGAGATGTTATGAGAACTTATACATGTCAAAATATAATGTGAGGGTTTTATAGCTTTTATTTTCAAAAAATATCCATCTATTGGAATGGACAGTGGATCTGAATAAGGAAATGCTGTTCTGATTTTATTTTCTAATGATACAATCAGCTTATAATGCATCTTATAGACCAAGCCTATTCAGTTAGCAGCCCATGGGCCACATATGGCCCAGAGGCAACCTCCAAGTGGCCCGGCTAGGGATGGGTATGATGAGACCGTAAATGGCCTAGGGCAAAATAATCAAGACCATAGTATTAATGAGCTCCAACATTATCGGCTTTCTTTATTGTTACTTTTTAAAGTTCTGGTTTCATGTATGATCATGCTGCAGCCTCTCTCCTGTTTGTTGGGGTGACCTCCTCCACACAGCACACAAAAAACAGGACAGAGTGAAGTCAGACAACAGTAGAGAGGCCACAGTGTGGATGAAAGGAATATAACTCGAAGATTACCCTAGCTGATGACAACTATGCTTGTGACTGTAGGTAAGCATAATAAAACCTTTGCCAGTAAAAGCTACTACTTTATACGTATTCAGCACGTAGAGAATGGATTACTCCATATTTGGTGCTCATGTAAGCATTTTAGGCAGCAGGACAGTATATTGATTAAGTCAAAATAGACTACAGTGTGTGTGATCATGGTAATGAAGGAACATGTTACCCAGTGCAACATTGTGGCTCACCAACGTGTTTTTAACAATATTTCAACAATGGAGCTCTATGGTACAAAGGAAGAAGAGATCAGGCTGTAAATGCACACACAGTACTTGTTAGTAGGTACATTCATTGTTAGTTTTGGGCCTTTTTATGGGTTATTTTTGACAATAAGAAGAAAACAGAATATTACTAATTCCAGTCTGATAACTTAAGTCCCATCCACAAATGCTTTGATTTGCTCAGAGAGGTGAGCAGTGATTCAGAGGTTTTAAACGTACCTTCCTCTCCTCTCCGGAGTTTTCCTCGTACACGATGGCCTGCACCTCGTTTCTGTTCTTCATCAGCATCACTGACAGATCTTTGTGTGGAAATTTCCCCACTGTGAAGGAGAAGTAGTAGGCCCCAGTGATACGACAGCGGAAAAACCCAGCCTTGGGGTCAAAATCCCCGCCAATGTTGACATAAACAGTATCAAAGGTTACGGTCATCTTGGGCCCGCCCTCCATGCTGTTGGTGCGTGCAACTGAGAAGGCAGAGCGTAGCTCCACATCATCCAGCAGATGGGCGAATCCCCACGCACCCCCGGCATGACTCAAGCACAGCAGGCCAATCAGGACACTCAGTGGGAGCAGCATTGTATCTGCAGAAACATTAAAAAATATACAATTATTTGTCAATATTGGCATAATACTTAACAGTTGATTTTTGAATTTACAGATTATATACCCAATTATACAGAGTTTTGTATGCGATTTAAAAAAAACCCAGAAAACTACTGTTAAAATGTTATGTTATTTTCTGTTTTTTATTATCCGGTGTACTGTTAACCTGTTTTTATTTTTATAATCCACACTGTAACCTGATTTCGGCATTGTTTATACTGTAGATATTTTACATTTGCAACTAATTGTTATCTTGGACTTTTTATATTTTCTTCTCACTTTCCACTGCAACTGCAGCACAATAATTTCCCTTTGGATAAATAGTTTTATCTTACTAAAGAGATTAAACCTTGCTTTGGTGAATAATGGATATCATATAAAACTTTTATATAGGCCTATTGGTGTCAATGCAGTACAATCAGTTTCTATTCTAATACTAATGTAGCTTTATTCAACAGTTTGACAGTAGAGACAGACAGGAAACATGGGGGAACGACATGCAGCAATTTGTGAGATTCACAAAATTCCCGCTCAAAACCAGCTTTCAGTACTTAACAGTTTCGGTGCTAGAGGCACATTTTAATGTGTACCACAAATGGAGGTTGACTACGCTAAAGCCCTGAACATCACACATCATTGTCACTCATTTAAGAGAAGACCAGCCAAAGCTTCCCCTCTAGTTTGTTTGGAGGTGAAACACAAACCACACACACAGACAGATAACACTGACATAATGGAGCAAGCACATATTTCAGATTCAGAATACTTTATTAGTCCCAAAAGGGCAATTCATTTCTACAGTCGGCCTGTCTATAGCAACAAAAACACAATGCAACAAACAGCCAACATCCACAATCAAGCATCATCACATCAGCAACAACAACAGCAACAACCACAACCAGTGACAGCACAGCAGAGCAGGATGCAAAATAATTCACAGTTCACAATAATTCACGATAAAATAAATCACAGTTCATTCTGCAAATGTGCATTTAGCAGCCTTATGGCAGACGGGATAAAAGACTTTGCATAGCGGTTTGTTTTCCACACTGGCACATAATACCGCCGACCTGAGGGCATGATTACAAACTCACTGGCCAGAGCATGATCAGGGTGGGATAATATCCTGTCTGCTTTTTGCACCACCTGTGTTTTCCAGAGAGAGCAGAGGTCCTTAAGCTGGACTCCAGTAATTTTACAGCACACTCTGATGATGTCATTCAGACACTTCTTGTCTTTCACAGATAGACCACCAAACCAGCATATAAAAGAAAATGTTAAAAAGCTCTCGATAAAAGGTACACAAGATATTTCTGCTGATACCGAGTTGAGTTTCCTCAGCAGATGGATCCTTTGGTTTGCTCGCTTTACAATGCTGTCAGTGTTTTCACTGAATTTTAGTTGTGAGTCAAATACATTGCCCAAGTATTTGTACGTTTTTACTATTGATCATCATTGATCATCTTGTCTATAGCGCTGTAGGCTTGCTGCGAACAACACTTGACTCTGTAGCTCCTCTTAAAAAGAAGTTAATAAAGCAAAGAAAGGTCGCTCCTTGGTATAACTCTCAAACCTGTAAGTTAAAACAAATATCATGAAAATTTGAAAGGAATTGGCATTAACCAAACTGGAAGAATCTCGTTTAATCTGGGCAGACAGTTTCAAAACGTATAAGAGGGGCCTCCACAATGCCAGAGCAAACTATTACTCAGCACTAACAGTAGAAAACAAGAACAACCCCAGGTTTCTTTTCAGCACTGTAGCCAGGCTGACTGAGACTCAAAGCTCTATTGAGCCTTGTATTCCTTTAGCCCTTAGCAGTAATGATTTTATGAGCTTTTTTAATGACAAAATTCTAACTATTAGAGGCAAAATTCATGACCCCCTGTCCTCAGATAATACCTATCTAACCTCAAACACAACTGTAAGACCTAACATATATATTTAGATTGCTTCTCCCCAATTTCTCTTCAAGAACTGACCGCAGTGATTTCTTCATCTAAATCATCAACGTGTCTCTTAGACCCCATCCCAACTAGGCTACTTAAGGAAGTCTTACCTTAAGTTAACACTCATATATTAGATATGATCAATATATCCTTATTAACAGGCTATGTACCACAGTCTTTTAAGGAAGCTGTAATTAAACCTCTCCTAAAAAAGCCCACCCTGGATCCAGAGGTGTTAGCCAACTATAGACCAATATCTAATCTTCCCTTTATATCAAAGATTCTTGAGAAAGTAGTCGCAGACCAGCTGTGTGATTTTCTCCATGATAATAATTTATTTGAGGAATTTCAGTCAGGATTTAGAGTGCATCATAGCACTGAGACAGCACTAGTTAAAATTACAAATGACCTTCTGATTGCTTCAGACAAAGGACTCGTCTCTGTACTTGTTTTATTAGATCTTAGTGCGGCGTTTGACAC